GTCTATCTCCATGTTTGAGTTTCACTTTCTGCAGAGAGGGGTGGGGAGAGGGAGAGAGAGAACAGTGCCACAGTCTCTGGGAGATCCTTCCTTGGGATCTTCCCCAAGCTATTTTCAGAGCTGGCCACATAACCCTGATCATAGCTCATATTTTCTTACTGTGCCATGTCTAGCTTATTGTCCTCTTTCCCCACTAGACCGTGGGTCCCTTAGGGGTGTATCTGCTGCCTCTGTGTTTGGCCCGCTAGCCCTAACCTAACTGAATGAATACATGAAACATTAAGATATGCTCTCGCGCCTGAAGCACCTCTTGCAGCAGATAGGGCCCAGAATAAATGTCCCGCTTCAGACCATCCAAGGCTGCATGATTGAAACGCTGTCTCAACAAACAAACAAACAAACAAGAAATACAAGCTGAATGAAAGAGTGAATGAACAGTGTACAACATATACACTCAGTTCCAGCTAAGTGGGTCATGGACCCTCCGGAACCAGCTTGGGATTGGATGAGCATCTCACAAGGGGAGCCAATCCGCAGGCTTCACAGTGACCTCTCATCTACAGCTTGCTGGAAAAGGAAGCTTCACACAGTAGGTCTTTTCTTAAGAATTTAAACAAAGAATTCTGCCCCAGGCAACCATAGACTCAAGAGCTCACAGAGAAAAGGGTCTGGGTGTCCCAGGGGTGGGTGTTGTGCCCATGCCGTGTGTTACACCTGAGAAAGGAAGCCCATGTAGGGCAGGAAGGGGCTCAAACAAGAGAGGAAGAAAGCCTGCCAGCAGAGAGTCAAGCAGAAGCTGTGGGCCTGCTGAGGTTGGGCCAGCCTTAAGAAAGGGACAAAGAAAGAGGAACCAGTTGCCTAAATTCTTGATAATTTTCTTGTTTTGGACCCAGTTCTGGTGCATCGTGACACAGATGAAGCAGGTTTTTAAAACATGCCAAGATGGGCGTACCTTCCATCCGGCTTAGCTACTAAGATGAAGCATTTCCCTTTTCTCCTGTGAGGATGAGAAGGGCTTGCATGTCTATACCAGGTGCCCAGACTGACACAGGCAGAACATTAGCTGGATTTTAGTCTTCTAGTGCCTGTTGCACCCAGCCTCCTTTCACACTGTCCAAATTGGCCTATCTTTGCCAGCCAGGTAGACTTGCTGTTCTATGACCAAGCAAAGACAGGAAGTAAACTTGAGACCAGTTAGCTGCTGCTCGGCAAAGACCAACAAAGACAAACCCCTCCACTCTCAGTTACCCAAATGTAAGCTAGCAGTTGTGCGTGGTTGCTGGCCTAGGGCACCTCCAGCCCAGAGATGATCGTTTTGCTTTGGACAAGACTGAGTCATGGGTCAAAGCAGCATCTGTCCCTCTCAAAGACAGCTGAACCAAGACTTGATGGATGCTAACAACAGGAACACAACCTGGGCTGCAACCCGGCATCCTCTGCTTATTAACCAGTCCTGTGATAAAAGCACATCAGAAGCAGCCCACTCCAGTAAATCTCCGCATGAGGAACAAGTCTGGCAAGACTGGGGTAAAAATTAAGAGAAACCCTAAGTGTATTCTATGAGAACTTCATTTCAAGAATTCACCTTTAAAGATAGTTTTATTTATAAGAACATTAGATTTTAGGAAACCAGAGCTTTGGTTAAATTCAAAGCCCTGTGAGTTTATTTTTTTTTTAAAGACCAAAAAAAGAAAGAAAAAGAAAATTAGTCTGTGCTATTATGCTAAAAAAAAAAAAAGTGACCCCAGCTTGACTTTCAAAGATGATTTATTCAAAAATATTTGGGTCTTTGCCCATTTTGTATGGCCTTTAAATTATGAATCTATAGTTTTTGCTAAAAAAAAAAAAGTGCATATATTTTTGTGTGGAAAAATTAGCTCCTGAATTTGAAAGTCAAAGAAAGCCCTAAACTATGAGATATTTTCCTTTAGAAAACCTGGTAATAAGCCAGGACAACCAGGGAAGAAGAGGCTCTTAGGATGTCTCCATATGATGTGAGCACTGAGAAGGCCTTGAAAAATGATTGGCAGTGAATAACTCTAATGGCAGCAATTGGCAATTTTAGGGGCTGAGTTTCAAGGATGGACAGGAAGCTAGGGCAGGCGGTAGATGAGAGTTGAAGGCAGGAGAGGGTGGTCCTTTGCCTTGGAGTAGGTATTGTAAGAAGAAAATTCCTCTTTCCATTTCTTCTCCTCTCTATGACATTGCCAAAGATGACTTCCCTTCTTGCTCAATGATCACCCAACATCAAGGACTAACACCGGGGAACTAGCTCATTATTTAAAGTAATCCCACAAGAACTCTTCAACAACTATCTGAATCAAGATTGGAAGCAAGGAAAGATATCTGGGAGGGTGTGGCAGAAAGAGAATGAGAGGAGGGAGCAGGTACTCATGCTACAAGCTCCCATTTGCCTAGGCCAGCTCTGGTCATAGTGTTCCAGGACTCCATGACAAAAAGAATGGCAAGTCTCAAGTTTGGCCATGCCTTAGAGAATCTTGATGCTCAGGCCACAGCTGATGCCAACCAAAGCAGAATCTCTGAAATGGACCTATCCAGAAACTGTTTTATTGTTGTGTTTCCAAGTGATCCCTTATATAGCTAAGATTGAAATGTGGTGTCTGAAAGAAAGACTTCTTAGACTAGAAAATGCCAGAGAGAGAGACAAAGAGTCAGAGAGAGAGAGAGAAAGAGAGAGAGAGAGAGAGAGAGAGAGAGAGAGAGAGAGAGCGCGAGCATACCTGGGCATCTTTCAGTATGCAGATTCACATTAAGTAGGTGTGTCTGGAAGGGTTGATGTTAGAAGAGGCCAGTGCTACTGGTCCTGACACTGATTTGCTGATTCTAGAAAGCCACATAGGGCCTAGATCTTGCCTCTGAGCATGCCCAGAGTTTCTGATAAGGGCCGGGAAGCTTGGGCTACTTCAGCACTAGGACAAGAGCTGTTGTCATAAAGAGATTAACCTTCTTATTATGCTCCTAAGATAACTTGGGCATGCCAGCCTGCTTGGAGGCTATGACTGTCATGGGAAATTCTCTGGATATCCATGAGGAACTGGTTCCTTCTTTGTCCTCTTGATTAAAAAAAGGGTGTGGCCATGGTTACATCCAGCCTGCTCTTAGAGACCCAAAGCTTAGTTCTGGAAGTGGAATATCGTCTCCTGGAAGACGTTCATTCTGTTACCTTAGCCCCAACATTCTGTAATACTGGGGGCAAATGGGTTGAAAGCTGCCACTTCCTAGTATTCATTACACTGACATAGGGACTCGGATTCTTTGGAGATAGACAGATGCTCCTGTCACTACCATGTGGTACATGTGTGTCCACAAGCATTTACAGAATTCTTACTGTTACTGTCCTACATGCAGCTTTAATTGCTATTTTTAAAAATGAAAACTTGAGATGCAGTTATGTTTGTTTATCTACACTCACCGACTAACTATTCACTTGTCTCTTTGGGTCACTGGAATGGTTAACCCCTTAATCTTTTTTAAAAAGTCGATCAAGATTATGTACAGCTCCAATTCTGTTTGGCCCCAAAGCAGAAGGCAAAATGCTTTCCCACTCAACACTCTTCATAAAATAACTTTGTGGTGGGCATCTCACAACCTGGACCTAATGGTTCTGACTGGCTTTATCCAAGATGATCTCCAAAGTCAAACCAGGAACACAGCTGATGCTTTCTGAACACAGTGAGTAGCAAAGACCAATGTGACAAAAACAGACACTTTTGGTGGACAGCTGAGTTAAGTAGCTGGAGTGGAGACAGGTGCACAGAAATGGGCTCTTTTCAAGCTAGAACTTGGCTTTGGGTAGAAGAGAGGTTGAGTTCAAGATCATAGGAGGGAATGTGGAGAAGGCTCAGTCGGTTAAAGCACTGGACACCAAGCCTGAGAATTTGAACTCTGTTGCCAAGGCCCAAAGCGCAGTCAGTTAGAGTGAAGTCAGTTAGAGTGAAGTCAGTCTCTTCACTCTAGTGATTTCTGCAAATTGTCCTATGACTTCTACTCTTAGGTGTGCCTGCATGTGCACATACGCAAATAAATGGGGACAGGAAATCAAGAAAGGCATGACCCCAGAGCGTGGGAAAGGCGCAGGGAAATGTGGGGGTGGGCAGTTCGCATCAGTAAGCTCTTTGCTGAAGTTGGTCGTTCTCATGTCCCCCTTTTCCCAGCTCATGTGCAGCCTTCCCAGATTGAAAATTATAAAAATCACCCATGGAAACTGGACACATCTGCCGGGCTAAAAACCGAAAGTTTTTCGGTTCTTAGGATATTTTTAAATAATGACTTAATCTACCTTAATGTATCCACACGATATACCATACCATCGTTCCACTGAGATATGAAGGACAAAGTTAACCCATTAGCCCTCCCTCGCCCAGCACAGCCTGGGCAGCATCAGGCCCCAGTGAAACTCAGGGCAGAGGTTTGACTCTACAGCAGCAGTCCTGGCACCCGGCTTTTAGATACACACACAGCCAGGCCAAGCTCTCATTAACACCTCTGTGGGTTTCCATGGTCAGGGAAACTCAAGTCCTCTGGTTCTGTTACCAACAAGCCCCACTAAGAAATCTGAGTTTCAGAAGCAGGAGTGAGTGGTAGCCAGAGCTTCAAAGACCTTGTGCAACCTCAGTCCCTTAAGTGAGGGACCACACCCTTCCTAGGGACCACAGTCACACTGAAGACCAATTAGCCCAAGAACCAAAGCCAACACTGGTGCCGCCTGGAGTCCTGGGGAACCCGCGGAAACCGCGCCACGATGCTCCGGCTCAGAAGGGAGGCGCACCCACTCGGGCGCACCCACCGGTCGCCTGCTGCTCAGCCGAGGGACACCAAGCCTCTGCAGCCCAGCAGGAGGCAACGATATGGGAACAGCAGCTTTTGTCCTTGCTCTTGGCCCCCCACAGCTGACCCCGTGCGACCAGGGAAGATCGCTGCATGGCGACCGCCACCTGCCCGTGGCTACGCCTCTCCGGGCCGCCCCGGACCACCCTTACCTGAGCCTGAGATGTGGACTCTGAGCGGGCGGCCCCGGCTCGAGGCCGACGACAGGTCACTCTGGGAGCGGCCGCGGGGACTTAGGTCTCCGGGAAGCCAGCGCAGGGCAGGCACGGGTGGGCCAGGAGCCTCGGACTCGGGGTCCAGAGCCTCCGCTGCCACCGCCTCCTGACCGGCTGGCTGGTCCGGGGACATCGCCGGGCTCCTGCCGGCTTCCGCCATCCGCTCTAGGCGCCGGGAGGGAGCGAGCTCAGGCAGGGTGGGGCCGGCGCAAAGGGCTGCGCTGTCCGCCGCGGCCCCGCGTGGAGCCCCGGGCCGGCTGGCAGGGCGGGGAGGCGGCCGCGAGCAGCGGTGCGCAGCGCGGGAGGAGGAAGAGCACAGAAAAGTTTGCACAGGAAGGAGCCGCCTACAGCCGGCTCTCACTCCCGCCGGCAACAGCCACCTCGGTGCCTGCCACCCTCGGTGCCCCAGAACCTGCCCGGCTGCTCCGCCCCCAGACGCGGGCCCTCCACTGGAAAACAGGGGTCTGTCGCCTCTGACCCAGAGCGGCTCACCCAGACGGTCTCAAAGAAGTGGAGTTTTAGCTGCAGAGCTGAGATGCAAGGTCAGGGTTAACAGTACCATTTGCAATCGGGACACGCCTGCACACACCTGACGCTGGTAATAGGACGGGGACCTAATGGCCATCATATGTAGTTTACAGGTGCCAAAACTGGCTCCAAAGGGCACTAGGCTTGTGGGAGGATTCCCGGCAGATCTGGAGTCGCCTGTGAAGTCTGGTCCTTTGATCCTCTCTCCTCCACCACCTCTTGCCCTTGTTAAAGCTCATCTCTGTCTCTCACAGCCCCGCATTCCTGGGCTTCTGTCTATGCTGGGTCAGTCTCAAAGGCCGTGGTGTTTAAAGGATCACTCTTCTAAGGGCTGAATTAGTGCCACAGATGTGAGGTTTGAGTTGATGCTTTCCAATGGAGATGGCTGGTAATGAGTGCCTTAGTAGGCTGCAGAAGAGGCGGTGATTTTGCTAATTGAAATCTCAGCGTCACCAGTTTCACAGTTAGGAGCCCAAGTAGCAGCTGGCCCAGAACTGAAAAGCTGTAAACCAGAGCTGACCCATCTCTTCAGGTTTCTGGCAGTGAAGGAATGTTGCTGGGCTTCACAAAGGCACCATAGACAGTGCCAGAAAGAGGAGACAAAGAGGGGAAAGGAAGACAAGGTCAGCATTACAACCCCCCATCCACACACACACAAGCATACATACCTCAGGTGCTTCATCAGGCAATTTGTAGGAAATATTTCATTTAACAACAACAACAACAAAATAAACCCAAGCAAAAGGTAAAAGAGAAACAAAAACTAAGACAGTAAAGCTAGACAAAAGGCCTAGCAAGTAGGTCACGGTGTTCGCAGAGCACAGACAACTGAAAAAGGCTTTTCCTCACAGCGGCTCTGTGTGTGCGTGGGGAGTGAGGTACAGTGGGGAAGATATCTGATTATCCTAGCTTCGCTGTGAAAACTACCCAGATTCAGATTCATTTTTCACAGTCAGTCAGTCATTTGGACCTGTCAGTTAACAAAGTGTGAATCTATGCTATGCCAGAACCAGGGAAATGGCTAGGCAGGTAAAGGTGTGTGCTATGGTGAGCTTGAGTTCCCGAGTTCTGTTCCTACGACCTACATATTGGAAGAGGAGAACTGATTTTCCCAAGTTGTCCCCCACATACATATATATACATATATTTATATATATATATATATATATATATATATATATATATATAATCTCTCACACACACTAAATGATGTAAAACAAATTAAATATATAATACTCTAAATTTTATACTCCAGTTGCTATCTTGTGTGTTTTAGGAGAGGAAAGGTTTGTGGTTTCAGTGAGAGCAATAAGGTTGCAGGGGCACTGGGATGTTATACTTACCCCAAATAATCATCCTTGGGTTGTTTCTAATCATAATTAGAGAAGTCTGTGAGAGTATAACCCTGAAAACTTACATTACAATGGAGCATGTCACCAGGCTTGCTAGTTTGCCAGCCATTGTGTCCTACACCTGCTGCTGGGATTGTCCATATTCTGATGGTGTCTTCTAGTATTCTCTGCCCAACGTGCATTCTGAAACATGCATTCCAGATGCCCACCCAAGAGACTCACATGTCACTCTCCTATTGCTTGTTCCATGAGTGTGTGTAGAAGATCCTTCTGGCTCTGCCTGGAAAATCTTATCCATGGCTTTCAGCTGTGAGGAGATGAGTTGCCAAAGGCCACCTCCATGCCAGACTTCTCCCTTGGCTCAGGACCCCAACATTTTGTGATCTATTGGTCCATTCTTCCTTGTCTGTCCTTTCTTTCTTTCTTTCTTTCTTTCTTTCTTTCTTTCTTTCTTTCTTTCTTTCTTTTTTCTTTCTATCTTCCTATCTTAATTTTCGTTTCCCCCTCCCTTCCCTTCCTGCCCCTCTCCTTTTTTTCTCTTCTTTCCTTTTTTCCCCTTTCTCTGTAGCATGGGTGCTCTAGATGGTGTTCATATGTGCATGGGTACTTATTTACAAGTTGGGGGCACACACGTACAGATGCAGATGTCCATGGGTGTAACTGCCTCTGCAGGCCAGAGGTTAGTGCTGAGAACCATGCCAGATCACGCTTCTACCTCATTAAGGCAGGATCTCTCAGTACCAGAGTACTGATAGGGCTGCTGTCTAGCCAGCCTGCTCTGGGTATTCCTGTCTCCAGTTTCTGGGGCTGGAAGTACAAACAGGGTTTGTAGAATAACTAGAATAGTCTTCTACCAGAGTTCATGGGGCCTTGCTGCTCTCCATGTCAAATCTTTCAAGAAGGCTTTGAGAATAGCTGAGGGATGCAGCATGCATGAGGCCTTATAATTAAGACCCAGTATGAAACAAAGTGCAAAAGCTTTTTGAAGACAAGTATCCATGATACATAGGTGACTTTTTCCCCCTCTTTGGCCAAGCTAAGGAAGTTCTGGAGCCCTGCTTTAAACACTGTCCTTGAAGTGACTCTGCTCTTTAGCCATGGAGACCTCACTATAGTTCCTAAATAAGACTCACTTTGTTTTTGTGTTATCCCCTGTTACACCCTTGTACTACTATTTCCTTGGCCTTCAGGTGCCATTTTCCCTAATTTTGCCTAATCGGCCATAATTGTCCCCAGCCCTCAGGACATGTCTCCCCATAGGAACAGCTTTGCTGGTTCTTTCTAGCCTTCAGGCCACCTCAGTGCTCCCCCCTGGGCAGTTCCACAGAGCCAGGTGCTTCTCTCTCAACGTCACTTTCACATAGGATTGGCTTTAGCATGGACACCTCCAAATCTTCTGCTCTGAAAGGGCCGATCTTTGCCTTTGTTGCCTCAGAGCCTCTCTAGACTCAATGAATCCAGCAGTGGGGTCTGTTGGAATTTAGACATTAACAACTAACTGACAACACTGAACAGTAGATGAAGACACCAGGAGGAGCAAGTGCCGAGACTGTCAGGGAAGCCTTCTTAGAGGAAATGACACAGAAGATGCCAAGGCGCCTCCGGATAAGGGAGGGGTCTGCAGTGACACAGATAATTGAGGAGTCAGGCTCCCTGAGTAAAGCCACAAGAGAGTGACAATACAACGCCATCAGATAGTGAAGGCAACCTGGAAGGCTCTTCTGGTCTGAGCCATTATAGCTCTATGAAAATAAGTTACAGGTGAAGTTAGGATTCAGGGCATTTCTCACACGGTACTTGCCTGAAAACCTAAAAAGCATGGTCCTTGTTTCTTTCCTTTCCTCCCTTCCATTCTTCTCACTATAAAAACAAACTCATTGATCCAGAGTGGTGACACACACCTGAATCTTAGGACTCAGGTGGCTGGGACAGTGGGGTTTTGAAAGATCCAGCCTAGCCTGAATTGATTACACTCTGTCTCAAAACAAACTAACTAAACTAAAAGTAAATTCAATAGAAATACAGTATGGCGGCAGTGATCACAGTTTGGGGTGTAGGGTCTGCTCAGGGAAAGGAAGGGTACAGTAGGGAGGAGGAGAGGGTTCGATGTCCCTGGAACCTTATAGGACAGCAAATGATGAGCCATGAAAAAGAGGCTATAAGGCATTGATTCTCAGCTTGTGGGCCACGACACCTTCAAAGTCAAATGATCTTTTCACAGAAGTCACCTAAGACCATCAGAAAACATAGATATTTGCATTACAAGTCATAACAGAAGCAAAATTACAATTATGAAGTAGCAACGAAAATAATTTTATAGCGGGGGTCACCACAATGTAAGATATTGTATTAAAGGGTTGCAGTGTTAGGAAGGCTGAAAACCTCTGCTATAAAACATTTAAGCAAAATGATAACCTGGTCCATCAGTATCTTTTGCTTCAGTTTTGACATGGGATAGATATACTTGATCTGTTTTGTTGCTTTAAAGATTGAGGGAAATGTATATCAGGTGTCAAGTCTAAAGACTGCATGTACTGAAAGTTCAGTCTACTCTAAGACATTAAGGAAGTACAATGAGGTTTTTTGTTTTATTATTTAAATTCATCTAAGTCATATCTAACTTAGTTCCATCTTCAAAGCTCACTCCAAGGATATTTTCCAGAGTCCACTCCTCTTTGGACCAAACGAGGACTCACTGAGCTCATAGGTCTTTGGACCAAATGAGGACTCACTGGGCTCATAGGTCTGGGAAAATGAGACAACACTCCCCTGTTGCAAGTCAACCACAACGGCGCTTCTGACTTTCTCCCTCTCCCTAAATGGGCAGGTAGTACTGCAATGGCTCTTGTCACCTACTCCAAGCCCAGCCATAGAGCACTTTGACTAGACTTCCAAGGCATCACCAGCAAAGCCCTGGTCAGCTGGGCAACCAGAACTATCTTGTTCATGTCCTTGTCTCCTCCCAGACTGACTATCTGCCAGAAGGGACACTTAGATACCAAAGGTTCCCCATAACTACTTGGGAACCAGAATTGTCTGAACTATCTGGGAACTCAGCTCTTCCTTCAATTCACTAAAAACTGTGCCTGGTAGGAATGTAAAAGGGCCCTGCCACATTAGAAAACACTGGAGCAGTTTCTTTGAGACCAAAATGTACTTTTGCCCTATCCTAGTTTAATCTCTGTTTGTTCTCTATGATGAATACTATGACTGTTTAGTCACTGTTCTATTGCTGTGAAAAGATATCATGACCAAAACAATCCTTGTAAAAGAAAGCACTTAATTGGGAGCTTGCTTACAGTTTCAGAGGCTTAGTC